ATGTGTCAAAACTCGCCTGATCCACACAGCCTATAAGAATGCTGGAAACATGAAGCACGTGATCCAAACTGACAATTTTATTTTTATTCGGTTGTTGAGGCAGTATATTAGCAAACGTTTGTCTGTGCAGTATACTAATATGTTCATTGTTTTTTGTTTTATTTGATAAATTTATTCAAGTTCTACTTTTTGAAATCCTACGAAATTCATTGGTCTAAACATGGAGCAAAAAATAAAGTCGGCAGAGAGAGGTAGAAGTAGAAAAGTTGTTGGAGACAAATCAAAGTGGAGACGAGAAATATTAAAACGTGAGCGGTATGTTGTAGCATTGTCTAAAATTGACAAATTATTAATAAAGTATTGTTTTTTTTGTAGGCATTCTGCGACAAGCTTGCCAGTATATCCTAAGTGCAATCATAACGGAAAAACATATAAATGTATGAAATTAAGTAATCGGGACATTTACAATTTTCATCGTAACTTTTATCAAGAGAAAGCCAAGGTTGAGCAAGATGCATACATATTAAAATTTTGTAGATGTTCACAACCAAAGCGAGATAGACAGAAAAAAGAAAATAGCAGTAGGAAAGGCGTATGTGTAAAATACTTTGTAAAAAAATCTGATTGCGAGAAGTTTGATATTCAGGTTTGCCAAAAAACATTTTTAAACATTCTTAATATTTCTAAAGCTCGTGTCCAAAGAATTGCAAAGCAACATCTTGAAACCGGACTTATGCCCAGAGAAAAACGTGGTGGTGATCGCACAAGCAAAAAATATGAAGAAAAGCGAGTGGCCGTTAGAAAATTTCTGGAAAGTTTGAAAGGTGTCGAAAGCCATTACTGCCGTTCAAAGTCAAGTCGGCAATATTTGTCTAGTGATTTAAATATATCCAAACTTTGGAGGCTTTACAACAAAGATGCTACTATTGAGGTAAAAAAAACTTTTTTTCATCACATATTTTCAAGAGAATACAATATTGGATTTGGAAGTCCAGTAACAGATGCTTGTTCCAAATGCATTGAGATTTCTGAAAAAATTAAATTAGAAAAAGACGTCGATAAAAAAAATGTACTTTTGATAGAAAAAAGGGTACATAAGCTAAAAGCCAATGCTTTTTTTGACAAACTTAAGAAGTTAGATCCTAATTTAATAACCTATTCATTTGACTGTCAAAAGAATTTGGTCAATCCCAAGGTCCCTGACCAAATTGCCTATTACAGCAGACAGTTATACACCTACAACTTTACTGTGGTTCAAGGATCTTCCAGAGCAAAAATGTCTAAAGAAAACGTTCATATTTATACTTGGATGAAACATCAACATAAGAAAGGTTCGAATGAAATCTCTTCAGCAGTTTATCATACACTATCACAAGCTGATTTGTCATCTTATTCGGACATACGACTGTGTGCTGACGGATGCGGTGGACAAAATCGCAATTCAACAATGATAGGTATGTTGTCTTACTTTTTTTCTAAGGTTGCACCACCTAACATTAAAACAATAGAAATCATTTTTCCTGTTCCTGGACATTCATATTTACCACTTCACGGATCAAAACTTGCCTTATTCATTTTTGTTTATTTTTTTTTACCAAAATGATGATATTGTATGTTTAAATAAATTAATGTTTAAGTTTTCTTACATTTTATTGTATATTAACACTTGGTGTACCTTTTCGCTCGTAAAAAAGTAACTTTGGTAAAGGTTTTTTCGATTTTACAAGAAACTTCATAACGCGGATAAGACAAGTTTTGATATGAGACGCCTCATTTACAAATCATTTTCAGAAGCAGGATGGGAAATCTAGTTTCTGGGTTCCTGATAGTATGCATAAAAATGGCACCCACAAGCTATACTGGACTGCACTGACCAGTGGCACATATTACACTGAATCTCATACTGGTAATAAGCTAACTAGACAAACAACACTAATTGATATGGCAATACCTTACAACAATAATCTGTATCTGAAATACAATGAGAAGATTGCCAAGTACACAGATCTTGAGATACAAATAAGGGGGACCATGGAAAATGCAAAGCAACCAGAAGATACCTACTCTTCTCTCCACTACTGGTGTCATTCCAAAGGACATAAAACAATGGAGTCTTAGTGAACATATCTCTAAGACCATGCAGAAAGTGGTACTGATAACATCCAGATACACAAAAAAAATTTGTGAAATACTCTGGCATACCAGGTCACCTAACACTCAATAACACAGAAAGAGCCCTACACTTTAAACAGATTTACAGAATACAGTTTTTTTGTTTAACATATTTATATCATTGACAATAAAAGTAAATAACTCTTTTTTGTTTTTATGTATTTCATTGACAATCAAAATACAAAACTTTTTCCAAAAACGCCTCCGAATGGCTTCACTATAGGAAGTTAATGTTTTAGAAAACTACATATATTCATATGTATGCACAGTATTATTGTTGTTTGGTATAACGAGATCAGCATAAAATGACGTAATTAGTCTGCCATTTCAGTTCTCGTTATAGAGAGAAAGTCTACTGTACTTAGCTCTAAACAATAATGATTGTCAGACAAAAGTTGAACATATCTGAATCTGTTGAGACATGAATTATTATGAAATTTAGTGTAAATAATTGATGCAATACGGTATACAATAGAATAGGAATATGCTTTATTGTCACTGAAAATTGTACAATTTTATGGACAAAGCTTACAAAAAGTAAAAAAAAATAACAATAACAATTAAAATTTACTAAAAATACATAATTTAATTATTACTAACCATAGAAATGGATATAGCTCAAGAGACATATCCAAAATGGTAAATAAATGTTTATCAATAATTCAGCATATTTTTAAATGTTACCGAAATGAAAGAGGAGAAATTATTTAAGAATGGGTCACCGAACTACAATTAGTAAAGAAATTAAATTATTACTAACCATAGAAATGGATACAGCCCAAGAGACATATCCAAAATGGTAAATAAATGTTTATCAATAATTCAGCACATTTTTAAATGTTACCGAAATGAAAGAGGAGTTGACAGTAAATCAAGGTTAGCTCCAAATTTTAAAAGATTTTTACTGAACGTGAAGAACGATGGATTGTCAGAAAATAACAAATAATCCTTAAAAAAGTGCACCAAAGTTGTGAGGTGATGGTGGAAAGACAGCTTGGAAAAAGATGTAACCCCAAAACAATTAGACGGATATTACGAAAGAATAATCTGCATGGTCGAACTGCTAGAAATAAACCTTTTATTAGCCAAAGAAACAAGCATATTAGACTGTAGTTCGCCAGGGAGCATATGAACAAAAATTTGACCTTTTAGAATTCAGTAATATTTGCTGATAAAACCAAAATAAACTTGTTTGGGTCCAATGAAAACATATCAGTGTGGGGAAAGCCGAATGAAGAACTAAAATTAAAAAATATGAAAGCTATGCTAACTCACAGATAGAGAGAGAGTAGAGAGTAGAGTGGAGTAAATTATTTGTATAAATTTTTAAACATAATTGAGCAAATAATGTCACATTATTAATTACAGATTAAAATATATATATATATAATATATATTAATTATATATTATATATATATATATTGACATCACACATTTAAAATATATTAACATTACAAATTAAATATGCTGATCAAGGAGAAGGATAGACCAGGCACTCCGCCACAGTATAGGGCTCAATGTCAACTAGGTGTTGAAAAACCTTTCTTTTAAAAGCTCTATAGTGTGTTTCCTGTTTAATGTCAGATGGTAGACTATTATAAAATTTAACACACGCTGTTAAAGGACTCTCTCTCTCTGTTATAGACAATCTGTGAAGTGGCAAATTCAAATTAAAGCTTCTTGTATTATATTCATGATTGGGAAGCAGGTGATAAAACAAAGAAAATTTTTTAAAAAGGAACATAATACATTCAAATATATAGATGGCTGAGAAAGTGAGTATATTGAGTGACTTGAATTGGCCTCTACAGGATTCTCCCGCCTTTAGTCCTAAAATCACCCGGACTGCCTTTTTTTGGACTATAAAGACAGTTGAGCTATCTACTGCAGCACCCCAGAAGATTACTCCATATCGCATAACAATAAAAGTTTGCATAATATACTGATAGTTTTATATCATACTTCTAATGTCTCAAAATCAGATACCCAGTCTACATTACCTAACATGAATTTAAAAAAACTTTTATTCTCCTTGCTAAATATTCGTTTTTTATTATATTTGACACAAATTCATTTAATTCAAATTTTACCTTTTGAGCAGTATGATCAGATGTATGAGGATTGAATACAAGGGAATCAAATATGTCCAAGATTTGTAAAAATATTAACTATACAGAATTTTTTGTTACCTTGTATATAAGGTGGGGCACGATATGGGGATGTATGTTATTTGCAGGAGTAGGCAACACTCATTTTATATAGGGAAATATAAACCAGTACATGTATTTGAATATACTACTTTTATCGGGACAATGATCCAAAACAAATGTCATATCAGCTTTGTAAATGGAAGCTTGGGATACAATTTTTCCAGAGTATGCTAGAAAGTTGGCTGAATCAATGTCTAAACGACTACAAGCTGTAATTGATAATTAAGGAGGCTTTACAAAATATTAGCAACCATTTTTTAATGTGTCAAGTTTGTTTTCTTTATTAATTTTCTTGTTTTAAAGTGTGCATCATTTTAGCTGTGACATCAAAATGGTACATAAAATGCTTAACCAAATATTTAATATTATATAAGTATGGTATACTTGAAACCCAGAAAATAGCTTATGCTATTTTAGAAGTCTTATAGTAATTTAATTTCAGTATGTAATTTTGTTCCAATAAATATTGAGCCACTGACACAAGCTAGTTTTATTGAGTAGCGGAGTTGCGACTGCATTATTTAACTTTTGAAGAAGCACATAAAGACCAATATAATTCTAATACATTTTTAGAAATATAACATATTAATTAGACAATAGATATTTTTTGTTCTTACCTGCAACTACTGGAATAGACTTATCTATCATAAAATTGTCGTGGAATAACTCTTTCCACAGGAGATCATTACAACTAGCTTCATACCATAATTTACACACTTGACCAGCTGAAATAAGTTCTTTATGATTTAAATGTTGAAATATTTTGTACAAAGCTAAGTATGGTAGATATGCCCATTTTGCTTCGCCGCAACCTTCCATTGTTAAGTTTGTCCTTATTTTCCACTTTAAAATTTCCACATTATTTTTAAACACATTGCGAGTGTTTGGAATAACTGATTTACGTCAAATGAATAAATAAAAACAGCTGATTCTGATAATGAGAGTGGTGATGGAGGATGACTAGAAATCATGTTACAAGGAGCAGTTGAAATAGAACACAACTCTACATACATTTTCCCGGGAAAATTGGGCGAAATCTACAATTTCAACTTTGGTTGAAACAAACGTAATTACATTTAATTTGTTTTATCATTAAAAGAAGACAGTCGAATGCATTTATTTTAACTTTTCTATAAGTTGTCATTCATGGAAGTATTAAAATATTTTGTTCTTTTTAGAAATGTTTTTATATATTAAAATTTAAATTGTAAAATTCCAATATTATTAATTGATGCATTCAATTGCACACATTCAATGCAGTTTAAAAATATTCTTGTTACCGCCGGAATTTCTATTTGACAGCAAGTCAAACATTGTTGTCAATTTTTCGAGAACAGATACAAAATTCAATTATTTAATAATTAAATAAAAAACCTATGATGTTAAATGTTTTTTAAAGTAAGTATTAGAATAAATAAGTGCCTTTGCAAAAAATAGTAAAACCACAGAATAATACAACAATTATTGTTATTTATTCTGTGGTAAAACTGACATAACTGCAACTGTCACGCACGAACTTTTCTGATTCTATGCATTGTTGCCAATTTCTAGGTATGTCAAATAAATAAATATTGATACATCGGCAACATTGGTACCAGGTGCGGAAAGCGACATTTTTCGATCAAACGTAAATATACATGATTTATATTTTGAAAGAGGAATATTAATTGCAAATTTATTTATTTATTTTATTCAGTCTGAACATGGTCGACGATAAAGTTGAAATGAATAACGACAGCGAAAGTTACACAAGTTTAAACACCAATGATCCAAAAAATGTCCAAGAGTTAACCCAATATGTAAGTTAAGATGATAATTATATTTGTTTTTGTTTAATGTAAGAAATTTAAAGGTAATTATTCGATTTATTTAGGTATTGTATATGTATATGTATATATTGGTATACAATAGTAGTAAGTATTTCTTTCTATGGTCTATGAAGTTGATAAACACTATTTATTAAAAGGAAATCTAGCATTATTTGATTCATTTATATCATGTATGTTGTAAAGAAATTTGAATTTTTGTGTTTAAAAAGATTTTTTAGTTGGTAATTTTAATGCCAAAATTGACTTGAATTCTTCTCTCCTGTTTCTGTAGATTTTTTTTTATGATGTTTGTTAACTGATAATTGCTGATATAATGATTGACCTCATATAATTTTATTTCAAAACCTCTGTTTTATTATATCCCCTGCATCATTTTATTGCATATTCTTTTTTATTCCAAGTATATAACTTTCAGGTACAAAGCTTACTGCAAACTATCCAAGATAAATTCCAGAACATGTCCGACCAAATACTTACAAGAATTGATGAAATGGGCAATCGTATAGATGATTTAGAAAAGAATATAGGGGACCTAATGACTCAGGCTGGCGTGGAAGGAACAGACAAGTAGATTTCAGTCCATTCTGAAAATTTTTACACCTAACGTAGATCAGTTAAGTTTATTTATATTATGGATATTAGTTTTACTATTAATAACAAAAATACCACTAAATTACAATAAAATGTTTTTTTTTTATTGAGTTGTTATACATTATTTCACAATATCAATTGAGAAAATAGATGGTGAAAAACAAGTAGCAGTGCTATTGGCGATGTCAAAGGAAAGAGGCGGCACAGTGTGGTAAAATTTTGAACTAGTGCATGTAGGATAACAAAACATTTTGTGTTTAGTTATACACACATAACATACTTATAAACACTGTCTAATCAGTATTGAATACACAATAATAATTAAATCAATCATTTTATTTTCTCTCTCTTAATTGTAGTAATACAAAAGAAAAAAATATTAAAAATATTTTAAAATAATTAACAAGCATTTTCTAAAAAGCCAGAAATATAATTCAAAATATTTTACCTTAATTTAACAACAATATGGTCTTTCTAACTAAAAGCTAACAACTTTTTATTATAGAACTCATATTCATTCTTAGCCAGGAATTTCAATTTTACTCATTATGGTGACTACATTCATAACACAGTTTAACTCTATGCCCCATGCAGTATGCTTTATGGCAAGCCTAGCATGCATGCTTTGTTTTTCTATCTGTTCCTTTGCAGAAATAACATCTAGTTTGCTTTACTAAACTTGTGGGATGTTATGTTGGAAGGTCTTCAACTTGAAGAAAGCCACACATTGTTTGCCTGAGTGATTTCTCTAAAGAAGGTATTTAGGGTCTCTCTTGAATTAGTGGTTCAATTAAAGCCATTCCCAAAGACTTCAGAATGATCTTCTATTACTAGATGCATTTTCTTTCCAATGGGGAGTTGCGAGAGAAAATAGCACCATTGCATTTATACCACTTGCATCAAGCATATTAAAAAAAATTCCTAGTGGTCATCGTGTGGATCCAAGCAACCTGGCAACATTTATAACTTGTTCATGATCAATTTCACTATCACTTTTATCAGTACCGGTATTGGAGTTTTGTTCTTCGACATAGTCCTCCTTAGATTCGGAATCAGTACCACAGATATTTTGGCCATCATCCTCGTTTTCATAAGCAAATACATTTTCAGCTTTCCTTTCCACGTCAGCTTGGGTCAACGGACAACTTTTTCCCAGTTTTCTTTCTAACTACATGAAGCCATTTCCCAAAAAATGATTATAAAAAAATTAATAAATTATCGCAAACCTCACACATGGGTGCTACATACCCTAGCGTTTATTCAAAAAATTTTCGTGATTGGAAATATTGCTCGAATGAGACAGCAATTACATATCCATCCTTGGCAGACTACAGACTGAATTTACATGAAGCGGCATTGCCATTGAAATGCGGTTTAGCATGCTACATTCAGTTCAAGTGTCTGTATGTCTATCTCACACCCAAGTGTGAGATTCCAGGGTTAATAATGAAGCTGGTCTACCCAACATGTGTTTAAAACTGGTAAGTTTTCAACTACATATTTCTTACTCACAAAATTATATTTAAAATATTTTAAAGATTTTGATAGATATTTATATTATATATTTATATTTTGGTTTTATTGGATAAGTATGAATAATTAATCTCAATCTTTAGTTAACATATATATTTGTAATCATTGTAGCTAAAATAACCTATCACAACATGACCAAAGTAAGTCACAAAATGGATGCATTTTTCATGGATGATTTCAAGAAAAATGATCTTGATAGGAAGGCATTATAAACTTGGTTTCTGCTGCACCGCATCAGTCAACAATTACTTATTCTTGTGGAGAATTTCGCTATAGATGGCAAACAGTCTGTGATGAAGATGATGATCAATTTGTGACATTGGGATTTTAAAGACATTAATCATATATATATATATATATATATATATATATATATATATATATATATATATATATTCATTTTAGCTATGTGAGCTATCTTACTCTTTAAATTTAGCCAGAATCGATATTTTTGGTTGACTATATAGTATTAATTTTTTATTCATTCTTCTTCACAAGTCATTCTCTCTTTAAATCCCTGCTCCCATCTGTCTAGTTTTAGCATTAAGTATGCAGGTCTCACTAGCCATTCTTTTTTATGATTTCTTGGATTTTTCTCTTTGTTAGTGTTACTAATAAGTATTTCAATTGTCCAACAATTTTAATAGTATAGCCTTTAACAGGTTAAGCACCAATGATTTTTTACCAAAATGATCCCCTGGACCAAAGCAATATAAACAAAATTTTAACATCTAATCCATTTTTGTTAACAGTTTAAAAAAATAGAGCTGTCTCCGGTGTCCGCTCTTGCCTGGCACAAACTATGTATGAACACCAGTGTATGCCATGGCCCACCGGAAACGTTCAAAACAAAGCGGACACCATATTCAACGAGGTGTCCGATGATGCTACGAAAGGAAATTACACAATCTTTAGGTTTACTGGGCTACATGGGAATAGTGCGAATGAATTCCATTCAGGATTATTCTTCAATGAAGTGGATGTTCAAAAATAATGTTGCTCCTAATATTATGAGCAACAACCGATTTGAGTTACTTCTGAAAATGAGACACTTCTCAGATAACTCTAAGTGTCCAGAAGGAGACAGATTGTATAAAGTGCAACCACTTATAGACCAAATCATAAGCAACTATCAAAAAATATTTACACCAGGGAAAACATTGTCATAATCACAATGGTAATCCAGCCGAAGTACCTAATAAATAAACTTAAAAAAGATGAAGTAATTGCCAGAGAAAATGAAAGAGGAATATGTGTCCTCAAATGGCATGACAAAAAAGATGTTTTGGTTTTATCCACCTGCCACAACGCTGAAATGTTCCAACTTCAACGTCGGGGAAATAATATTCAAAAACCGAAAGCGGTAATTGATTCAAATTCAGGTAAAAGCTCCATAGATTTATCCGATCAGATGTCGAGTTACAGTACGGCGCTGCGACGAACTGTCCGTTGGTACAAAAAAAATAGCTATAGAAATTTTATTAGGTACTTCAGTTGTTAATGACCAATTAATCTACAAGGAGGCCGAACAGACTAACATATTGATAAACGATTTTCGATATGCAGTCATTTAAGAATTGTTAAAATTTGATGTAAATAGATATAGGTATTTCTATAGCTTATTTGTTTACCGTAAAATGAGGCTACTTTGTGACACATTTTTAGGTTTTGTGATGATAGAGTACATACACTTTCGGTTTAATATAATTTTAAAAATACTACCTGAAAGCTCAATCTTTCCTCTATGTTCAGTGAAAACTATAATGCGCTATATGTTATAGAAATTAATAAAATGTCAAAAAAAGTTGTCACAAAGTCGCCCCATGGGTAGGGGTTTCTTTGTGATACGTAAATTTTTCTGTGATA